TATGGTCACTAAACAAATGGTTACATAAATATGTATATATTACAGCTATGTTTAGTGTTTTAAAGGAGTCTGATAATTGTGCAAAAGCTTATAACTGGAGGCTCTCACTTAATTGAGGTGGAGGGATTCTTGAAAGACTCTCATTTATTCCAAAATCTGAAGTATAGAAACCATCCATGTGTAGAAGCCCTAAATCTGGGGAGAACATAGCGTATTCTAGGAATTCAAAGAAGTCCAGTTTGGTTCTAGCTTAGAGTGCAAAGAGGTAAGTAGCCTACAATGCACCTGAAGAGACTGTTTAGACCAGAGTACAAAAGCCACATTAACTAGTTTGTATTTACTCCAAGTACAATAGGAGCTCCGATTGGGCCAGGTTAACCAATGGTGACTGTTCAGTGTGTGATTCTCTAGGGGTATCGTGTGGCCCTCTGATCAAAGAACCTCCTACCTCACCCTCTTTCTTTTTCATCCATTTTATTTGTGATTATATCGTAACTGGGAAAGTCTGTCATTTTACAGTAACATACTGTTCTTGTTTTGGCCCATGACACTTACAGTATACTCTTTTATTCTGATGGAATATAAATATACATAGACATTAAAAATGATATTTTCTAGGCATATGAAACTACCACAGAAGGAATATCTGAACAACAAATTTAGAATACAGTTTTCTTTAGATGAGCACCAATTTTTGAATCCCCAGGGGGCACTGAAGTTTATGATATAGAATTATTTTGTCACATTGGTGTTTACTGTCACCCCACATAGGAACCAAGCATTGGGATACTCTGTAGGCTGGCCCATACATTTCTGGAGTGGAGGCTTCAGTACTATTATTTTGTCACATTGGTGTTTACTGTCACCCCACATAGGAACCAAGCATTGGGATACTCTCTAGGCTGGCCCATACATTTCTGGAGTGGAGGCTTCAGTACTAAGCAACGAACAATAATTCAAACGACATCAATGATACTTTTACATATACAGGCATATCTTCTAGTTTAGTGGAGAATATAGTAAAGTCTCCTTTGTGAATAAAACTCCCAGAGATTCTCTATGGTATAGACTTAACGGTAAACTAAAAATAAATTTTACTTTAAGGGATTTTTGGCCTTCTACCTCCATCTTTGTTGGACTGGGATTTACTTTGTTTCATTCAACTAAATTTATTGACTACGTTGTGGGTGTGGAGTATTCAGAAGTGGCATGATAGTCATTGGCTCTGCCCACATGGAAAATTTATAGTCTAGTTAGGAATATGGTCACTAAACAAATGGTTACATAAATATGTATATATTACAGCTATGTTTAGTGTTTTAAAGGAGTCTGATAATTGTGCAAAAGCTTATAACTGGAGGCTCTCACTTAATTGAGGTGGAGGGATTCTTGAAAGACTCTCATTTATTCCAAAATCTGAAGTATAGAAACCATCCATGTGTAGAAGCCCTAAATCTGGGGAGAACATAGCGTATTCTAGGAATTCAAAGAAGTCCAGTTTGGTTCTAGCTTAGAGTGCAAAGAGGTAAGTAGCCTACAATGCACCTGAAGAGACTGTTTAGACCAGAGTACAAAAGCCACGTTAACTAGTTTGTATTTACTCCAAGTACAATAGGAGCTCCATGGAAAAGTTTATTTAAAAAAAAAATTGTATTAATTTTTTCCTTAATTTTACCTATACAATGTAAACAAGTGGAAAATTTACCAATTTCTCCCTAACTCCCCATTCTCCCTTTCCCACTTCTGGTGGCCTCAGTTCCATTCTCTCCTTTTGAAAGTTGAGCAAATTATTGTACTCATTTCTTTCTTTTCTTTCTTCCTTCCTACCTTCCTTCCTTCCTTCCTTCCTTCCTTCCTTCTTTTCTTTCTTCCTTCCTACCTTCCTTCCTTCCTTCCTTCCTTCCTTTTTTTTTTTTTTCAGCTCCCACTTTTGAGTGAGGACATGCAGCATTTTTCTTTATGTGCCAACCTTATTTCACTTAACGTAATTTTCTCTAAGTTCATTGGTGTTGCTGCAAATGCCAGAATTTCATTCCTTTTTATGGCAGAGTAGTATTTCATTGTATATGTTTTATGGCAGAGTAGTATTCCATTGTTACACACACACGTGCACATATATATAAAGCACATTTTCCTTATCCACTCATCTGTTGATGGACATTTAGGTTGATTCCAACTCTTAGCTATTGTATATATAGCTGCAGTAAACGTGGGAGTGCAGGTATCCCTTTGACATGATGATTTCCATTCCTTTGCATATACACCCAGCAGCAAAATTGCTGGATTGTATGGCACTTCTATCTGTAATTGTTTGTGGAACCTCCATAGTGTTTTCCATAACAACTGCATTAATTTACAGTCCCATCCACAGTATAAGAGGGTTCTTCTTTCTCTGCATCCTTGTCAGCATTTATTATTCTCTGTTTTTCTTTTTATTTATTTTTTTTTTAAAAGATGACCGGTAAGGGGATCTTAGCCATTGACATGGTGTTATCAGCACCAAGCTCACCCAGTGAGCTAACCAGCCATCCCTATATGGGATCCGAACCCATGGCCTTG